CCCCGATTGTTACGCCTCTGCCTGTGTATACTCTACTGAGGATTACAGGTGGCCTTGTATACTCTATTGGAGTCCACAGGCAGCTGTGTATAATGTACTGGAGTCTACAGGTGGCTGAATATACTCTATTGGAGTCCATACGTAGATGTGTATACTGTACTGGAGTCCATAAGTAGCTGTGTATACTCTGCTGGAGTTTACAGGCAACATTGTGTACTCTATCGGAGTCCACAGGTAGCTGTCTCTTCTACAGGAGTTTGCAGGTGGTAGTGTCTGCTCTACAGAAGTTCTCAGGTGATTGTGTCTACTCTACATGAGTCCACTGACAGCCATGTCTATTCTACAGTAGTCCTTAAGCGGCCGTATCTAAGCTACAGGAGTCCACAGGTGGCTGTGTCTACTCTACAGGACTCCACTGGCAGCCATGTCTACTCTACAGGAGTCCACCGGCGGCCCTGTCTACTCCACAGGTGGTTTGATGTACTCTACAGGAGTACATGCAGTACCTATCTGTGTGTACTCAGTAAGAGTCTGCAGGTGGGGCATATAATACGGTACAGGAGTCCACAGGTGGCACATGCGATACTACACAGGTGGCACATGCGATACTACACAGGTGGCACATGCGATACTACACAGATGGCACATTGACTACTACATGGCACATGCGATACTACACAGGTGGCACATGCGATACTACACAGGTGGCACATGCGATACTACACAGGTGGCACATGCGATACTACACAGGTGGCACATGCGATACTACACAGGTGGCACATGCGATACTACACAGGTGGCACATGCGATACTACACAGGTGGCACATGCGATACTACACAGGTGGCACATGCGATACTACACAGGTGGCACATGCGATACTACACAGGTGGCACATGCGATACTACACAGGTGGCACATGCGATACTACACAGGTGGCACATGCGATACTACACAGGTGGCACATGCGATACTACACAGGTGGCACATGCGATACTACACAGGTGGCACATACAATAATGTATAGAAGTCCAGGTAACATGTACTACACAAGAGTCCACAGGTGCTGCATTTAATACTGTTCAGGAGCCCACAGGCGGCACATTTGATACTGTACATTAGACTACGGGTGGTGCCTATAATGCTGTACAGGAGCCCACAGGTGGCTCGTATAATACTCTGCAGGCATTCACAGGTGGTGCGGATAACATTGTGAAGGAGTCAGTAGGTGGGGCATGTACTACTACACAGGAGACAGCAGGTGGTGTGTATAATATTACAGGAGCCCACTGATAATGCATGTAATACTATATAGAAGTCAATAGATGGTGTGTCTAATGCTCTACAAGAGTTTATAGTTAGAGTGTATTATACTGTACAGAAGTCTATAGGTGGAGTGTAAAATTTTATACAGGAGGCCACAGGTGGCAGAATACAGGTGGCGTATGTACTGTTCAGAACTCTGTGGACAACGTGTGTACTGCACAGCGCACACTTCAGGTGACATATGTTCTTCACAGGAATCTCTGGGCTGCTTATGTATCCTTCAGGCACTCTGTAGAAGGTGTATACAGTATATTGTAGGCCCACCAGACGACATTGACTTATATTGCTCTTTATTTGGTTCTGACTTGCTACTTCTGTGCTTTAAATAGTTACATATAAAGTGAGTGAGCAGCAGGAAGTGTGTGGCTTTTCCTGCATCCTTCTTGGGCTCCAAGCAGACGTCTGAGGAGATTTTTTGAGGTGACAGTGGGGTCCTGTTTGTATGTTTGTTCCATCTTGTGCTGCAGGCGGATAAAGCCTTCACACATTGCTAATTAAATGGAAAACCACACACAAATATTTAGCAGACTGCTTTCACATGTAGTGACTCTGAAACGCTAAAAAAGCAATTAAACACTGCAAGACAGAGAACTGGAGAAAGAGTGCAGTCGCTGCCTCTGAGTAATCAGAAACTGATGTTAAATGTAGAAAAATCTTCTCGTTTTCTAATTACCTCTATTATTTTCCTGTGTAGCTTGCTGTATATGTATCTTAGACTGTTGGCTACCATGGTCAAGTTTGTCTTATTTCAAGAAGGACTTCAATCTCAATAATAATAACAATCTGAATATAACTAGTAACAAGGCACCTGTTAAAATCTTTTCTATCAATTGTGGCACCGTAGGTGTAGTCTATGGGATGTGGCTAAAAATGCTGCTGTGTCCAGACTATGGACATAAAGGTAATAACATTCTCAACAAGCAGGGATAGATCTTTAAAACACACCCTCACTGACCTCTGTTGTTGGAGGTACTTTGAAGTAATACATCCTCAAATATCACATAAAGTCAGGATTTCAGACAGTTTCTACCAGCTTACATAGTCTTCTGTTTGTGTAGACTGGAAGTTTGGCAGACTGCCAAGTCACTACTGCCAGAGACAATGAGGGTGGAGAAGCTGCAATTTCAGTGCCTTTGTCCGTTTTAAAGAGGCATTTCCCCATAGATGCTGCAGCTACATAGGTCAGTCTTGTACTACTATATGCAAACCATTTAATGTGCAAAGTCTGGCCACAGGAACACCTTAAAGCCTAACTCCAGCCAACTGTCAGATAACATTTTTTATCTATGAACCCCTTGGTAACTTTTGCCATCTCCCAAACACGGTTGTCTTTGTGAGATGTAGGCACAGGCAACAATAAAATCCTTGTTTCTAACCCTTCTCCACTATACCAAACATGTTTTTGTCCATGTACCCATGGGAGAGTTTTCCTATTACTTCCTGCCCTGACAGGAAGCACGGAGATAACTCCGCAAAAGGGACTCAGGCAAAAAACTCTAACCTACTGTAGCTCCACTCGATCCAAAAAACGAAACAATGGCATAGTTTTGGTTTTACAGCTTTTTACATGTTAAAGGATGCAAATCTTCTCTATATTACTGCACATTTTACATTTGAGTAAGCCCCCGATACATGATCCCCATGGTCCTTGAGCAGGCCTTCATAGTTGTGCAGAGGGGTTAATACTCTATGATCACAACATCATTTGTCACTTGTGATACTACCTGTGCTGAGTTTGTGGGAGTTGTTGGAGCGTTTGGACAGCAAGACTATAGGTGGGTCATAGGGCTCCTGTGAGCATGCATCTAGGTGCATATGAAAGATGCAAATTAATGCAGTTTTTTAATCAATAATACATCATAAATGTATTTATTTATTTTAACACGCCAGTATTAGTAATTGATTTTGACCTGGTTTCAGCCTCTTGCGGTACCTGGACATCAGGGATGGAGTGTAGAGGGAAGCAGGAGTGCAAGTAGCCATTCATGTACTGACTAGAAATATACTGATAGAGAGCAGAGCTTTCACTTCATACAAGAGGTTATAAGAGGAAATCTCTCCAAATCTAGGAGAAATCTCCTCTAAGATGTCACCAGAAAGGATGTCACCACTAAAACTTTTGCCCTCATCTCCCTTTCTGGTGACAATGGTATCATTTTGCATTTCCCATCACTTTTTGTCTCTCCTTGAAGGTGGTTACCAGGACAAATAGAGAGGATGAATCTCTCCAGTAGATACACGGACTGCAATAAAATCTGACAGGTTTCAGCATTCCCCACTTTATCTAAA